CTAGTAGGACTGGTAGTCAGTAGTCAATGGCAGTTGGGCCAGTGCAACACCGCTAACAGTAGATAAAGTAATCCATGGCCACTTGAGGTGGAGTGAAAGCACCCCAGCCTGAGGCAGGGTGTTGCTGTGCTGGAGGGAGGGTTGAAGGTTTTGTCGATCCAAATGCAACGAAATCGGTGTTGGTATATAGTCTGCCAGCAGTTGTTGCTTCAATGTTGGAAATTCGGAAGCGCCCCTGGGCTTAGTCCTGGAGTTCCATGTCTAGCGTTCGCCTTCACCCTTCGCCACGTCCGGCCGCCTTCGAACGACGGCAGGTTGGAATGGTTGGAAAAGATGCACCGCTGTGGACAGGCGGGAGACGAACGACATGGACGAGACGAGACGCACATGTGAAGCATTTATGACATGAGTGAGTTGCTCCTAAGAAGGATCGGTCCTCAGATGTTGTCCAGATTCCTTGCAGTGACCAAATTGGTTGGTTTTCACATACTTTTTCACTCACTTGTCTCCATGTCTCCTAGACCTCCCCAAGGTTCCCCCTAGAGGTTCCCCTTTAACTCTCTTATTTCATACTATGATTCATTCCCATCAAGATCCATAGCACGGGAGCACAGCTGGAAGCACAGCAGCCTGGATCCTGGATCTTCGCCAAGGTGTCCTCACATTAGCCCGCAACGGCGCTAAGCGCTTGCCTGCCCGAGTCACCTTGCATCGAGGTGAGTCGCTGTGTCGCGTGTCGCGTGTTGCCCTGTGTCTCAGGTATTTGTTTCTTTTTGAGGTATGAGTCAACCGCAGTTGATTCCACAACATGCCAGATTCTGCCAAAGCTTTGCCTTTGCCCGCTGTGCGGAGATGCTTCCGTGATGTTTACACCCCGGGCCCTTAATTCACAGACTAAGGTTGCGGGAGCCACACAGGTTGAATACCAGTTGGAAACATGACCTACCATATGCACACGAATCTGAACATCGAAAAGGCATTGGCGCTTTGATTTGTGCCCACATCCGACCCAGCCAGCATCCTTGTGGGTCACCCCGGTCGCAGTGTTTGACCGGGATGTGGCCATCGGTTCACTGGAAGTTCCGGGGGATCGGCTGGGTGTGATTTGACCCGCCGCCCATGTGGTTCGCTGGAAGTTCATGTGTCGTTTCTATACCTTCCTGAGACCATGATGCCTGAAGAAGCAACAAGTCTCACCTTTTTCTGTCACGTTTGTCCCAACGAAAGACCCACACAACGACACAACAAGAGCTACACTCAGCGTTGGAGGCCGTGTGAAGGACATCGAGGTGGCCATCCAATCGGCCAAGGACACACGGATGTTGGACATCAAGCATCGGGTGCCTTTCGATGAGGCGCGTGGCGAACGAGAAACGACACGATGCGGGATGGCTCATCGAAGGCTCAGTTGAGTGAAGGGTCGGGTACCTGATTTCAGCGGTTTCACTTGGCTGACCTGATTTCTTGGGGGGGATTTGGTCGCAGAAGGGTAGGACTTTGGCAGGAGCTTGACTTCTAGGTTAAAGAGGCATAGCACTGGGGCTCGCACACAAAGGTAGGGGCAGGATGAATTCACCCAATGAATGAGGAATTTTTAAAAGGTTCGTCTTCGTCTTCTTCAACACTGTCCCCAATTTGGTGTCTCTTTACCATCTGTAGGCATGGGGTGAGCCATAGTCACTCCCTGCAGGTTCCTGGATCCTTGACAACCTGAAAGGGGCAGCTCTCGGAAATCCACGGAAACCATCAGAACCCCTATGTTTCGTCGCCCCCAAGTCTCGTTTGCGTAACCGGCGTGTGACCCGGGTGAACAAGGCGGCGCGGCGCATCAGCAGTGGTTCGGTCTTGGCCTTGGATCCCATGAGTCCAACGGACCAGAAAGCCTTCGAGACTTGGCCGGCGGAAGACGAAGAACGCGCGAGCGATTGAGCGATTTCGCGGACGCGGAAGCGAAAGCCTAGGCTTGCCTAGGAGCATGCATTGGGTGTGATCCCAAAAGACGAGGAGCTTTTGAGTGCTCTGACTTTGGAGTGATTTGAGTGATAGAAAGGGTGCCATCCAAAAAGAACTGAAAACACTTCAAGGGCTTGGCCGATTGAAGCCTGTCACCCTGCCTGCTGAGCCAAGCACGGCCAAGGATGAGTATATAAAGTATTTCAAGACCAAGCCATTTGGCAGCAGACACGGCATGGTGTGCTGTCGAGGGAGGTTTTGGAACAGAGGCTCTCATAGTGAAGGATAGAGAAGTTGACAACTTCGCACATCCTCTTTGCCATTTCCCACACGGGTGATGGATGAGGTCGAAGCTAGGAGCTACTAGAAACAAGGGCATCGCTACTAGTAACAAGGGCATTACTACTAGTAGTAGCTCCTCTCTCCTAACAAGTTCATTGCTACTGGTAGCTAGAAGCTAGGAGGGAGGGCTCCGCTCCTTAGGGGCCTGACATCCCGCTCCTTAGGTCCCGCGCAGGGGTCGCGAGACTGGAAGGGAACTTGGCGCTGTACTTGCTTCCGGCAGGTGAGAGTCCGGAGGCGCGAGCAGACCAGACCCAGCCGACTTGCTTGAATGACATGTTGGCCAAACAAACCTCAATTAGCCCCTCAATTAGCCTTCTTCTTCCGGCTGGTGGAAGATGCAGGTTCATGAGTAAGCCGCGAAATCAGGTGTCAAGTAGCTTTCAGAGCAGGTGTCATATACGGTGTCAAGTAGCTTGCAGCAAGGCTCCACAACTACGTTATTTCAATATTTGATGTGAGCTGCCTGCCTTTGCCATCACCACTGGCATCACCCTTAAAATGTGCTACCCACATCCTTCGCACTGAGCTTGAGGTGCTCAAGGCGCTTTATGAACTAAACACGCACATCCCACGTGGCTTGGCGACGGGAAACCACTGCGGTGAAACCATGTTTGCGTAAGTAAGTTTACCTGCGACATATAGGACAGTTGTCAGGACCACCACTCCCATTTTACAGATTCTGAGGAGCCTCAGAGTAGCCTCACGGTAAAAGGCTTGCAAGTGAGGAATTGCGACGTGTGCATGCACTTCAACGTAGTTCAACCAAATCAACTGGATTGTTTGGACTTTCCGCTGCAAACTGTCATTCCGGCACAGACAGCGATTGGAGTATTAGTTTTACCTTACCTACCTTCAGTTAGGCCTTTGATGCAATTGAAGTTCTCAACCAAACATCCCAATGCATCATGGTTCCAATATGTTCCAATGCATATACCAACTGTCATTCCTGAGGAGTTGGCGTATGCAAAGGAACAAACGCAGGCACCATCCACCCATTGCATCCAGTGACTCGATGTGGCACACCTCGCCTCTGGCAAGTCTTCGGGGTGGAGAGGAGAAACCCAAGGCTTTCATCACACCCAAGGCAATGGAAGCTTGTTGGGGATCATCGGAGAAAGTGGAGCTGTCACTTGGCTTGGATTGCGTCGAAAGGAGGAAGTAGATGCTTGCACTCCAGAGAAAAAGTTGCAAGGCCTGCCAGGCATCAAGATCATAAAGCAGCAATCATATATAATTAGTTTGGGCCGTTTACCCAACAAAGAATGAAGAAAGTTCTTGGAATCCCAACCTGAGGTTGTTGATAGGGTGCTTGTTCACTGCAGTCATATGCCCACTAAAACCTACTGAAAAATTCCTATCAAATTTCTGTGAAGAGCTATGGCGGGAGTCAATTCATCGATCTTCATTGCTTCAGGTCGCGGCACCCGTGGCAGCACCTGTGGCAGCACCCGTGGCAGCACCAAAAGAAGAAGCATCGAAGGTGTCTCGTCGTGTCGGCTTCGGTGTGGATCGGCGGATCGAGGCCGCAGGGCGTTGGTCCAAAGCCGAGAGGATGCATTGCTAGGCCTGAAAAAAACCACTGAGAAGGCAGGTGGTCACAAGATGGGTGATGCGTAATAGATCCTTCTTAATAGGTGTGCTTGAGAGTTACTGTCTAGCTTCGATACGCATGTGCACCTGTGTGCCAGTCTTCGATCAGGGAGCACATAAGGCCCCAAAAGTGACTCTTTGGAGTGTCCTCAGGCGGTGTTCGCAAACCTGAGGCCAAGCCGGATGAGGCCAAAGGAAAGGTGGAGCCCAAGGGTGGAGGCTTGGGAGGGACCGGGGGCATCTCGGAGACAACCTGTCAAGTAGGCCGGTTGGCTCAAATGGATGGCTTGGCTCAAGCGTGCTTAGAGGAATGGTGATTTAAGACCGGGCGCAACAAAAACAAATCAAACAAGTGATACAGTTTGTGCTCGAGCAAAGCATACCTTTGTGCGAGCCATGCTGGAACCAACCTTCATGTAAAGCACCTGCTGTATTGTTTCTGATTCAGCAGTCAGAAGCTTCATGCATGGGACCATGACAAGCTGCAAGGTGACGAAGAAGGTGGGAAGATTTCTTCGAAGGACGTTACTGAGTGATGTTTGCAACTTCCAGTGGGTTTGTTTAATCACTGTTTGTACCCTGGTACCTGGAGCTTTTTCGGGTGCAATGAAGCCTGTGAGTGAAACTTGATTCCAAGCCTGTGGCTTGTTGCTGTTAAAGGCCACCATCAGAAGGTCATGTAGTCAGCTAGTCCGCACATGTCCGCATCAGACTCTTTCAAGCCACATGTCAGAGATGTAAGAAATGACGGTTTCATTTTGTGAGGCCGTGGCCATTCTGGTCTCGAAACGATTTTGAGTGTTGTGTTGGGACAAGGGGTACGAATCAAACTTGTTTGGAGCTGCTGCCTAGGCCCAGGCCCCTCCATAGCCCAACCAACCAATAGCACAACTGCTCAGTGTCCAACAGTTGAAGGGTCTCAGTTTTGCAGTTCTGGCTCTTCTTGTGGTCAGCACAAACGTCGGGGATGCCTTCTGGGTTTTGATTCTGATCATGTTAGAGGCTTGCGGCAAGTACAGGCTTTGGGGTTCGAGCTCACTGAACTGGCCCTTCATCACACCTTGGAGAACATAGAAATGCATACTGTACATTACTGTACATGATTGTCCGTTCGAATCCCACTCACCAAAACCTACCCCTAGAAGCTGAAGCCAGCAAATGCACATTTTTTTGTTAGCTTTACTATGCTTTACTCATGTTGTTTCCATTGGCATTTGCTTGAACTCAAGTGGTTTCATACACTGGAACAGTAGCTCACCCACGTGATTTCTTGGAGACGCAATTTCTTTGATGCTCACCCATCGCCCATTCTGTCAGGAGTTGATGGATCTTTTCTCCAATCCAGATCTCCGCAGACATCATTTAACAAGGCTTTGTATTTAATTTTTGAATCACCTGTATATCAACCAATTCATTTGTGGTGGCAGGTTATCCACCACAGGCGGAATAGTAATACATGTGGTCGAAACCGAAAGAACTTGGTCAGTTTTGACGCGTCCCTGCACCGAAAGAAGGTCAACAGTCAACGGTCACTTGTTCACATGTTTGTCCATTCCAAGATTCTTGGGGTTGTTCCATTACCATCAGCTCAGACGCATCCTGTGGGCAGCTGAGTCCAGATCTAAGGATCTGATCAAACTTCTTTCTGACGGCTCTGAAGGCAAGTAGCCAACTTTCCACGAAGAGATTGGTCCCAGAGCGGAAGTGGCACTTGGGCTTGAAAGCTGCAAAAAATCAATGATCTAGGCAAATGCATAGATCCTGATCTTGCTGCTGACTTTGTGTTCATAGACATGGCCAAAGCATGCCAAAGCCTATATTCAAACAAATGCATGCGTGACTGAGCAGTTCCGGGCTCGACCGGCAGCCACATTCCCAAGTGGGACCATTCTTTGGCTCCTTTCTATAAAGTATCAATCGTTTGGCAAGTGATGGTGCGCATGCATATCTGATGTTTCTGGGGCTGCTCCTGCAAACAAGCTCAACGGACTATATGAAAGTTTGATGACAGTGGCACTTCTTGGAACACTCCCAGGAACAAACTTGGACATGGAATATATGGTTTGTAAATGTTGCAACTTGATTCCAAGACATCCATTTTTGCCAAACAAGGTTCTTGACGTGTGGATCCGCCCCACCAGGAAGAACCAGACAGACAACTCAGACGGCGAAGTGGCCGATCTCGAGAGATCGGCGCTGTCATGCGAGGTCTGCAAAAAGCTGCGAGGTCTGAAAAAGCGTTTGGTGGAAATCAACCCCTAGGAACTGGGTACCACTGAGGTGGGGTGTCCAACGTCAACCTTTGAGCAGACCAAACGTCCAATCGATGGTTGGTCCAATCATCAGGCCTCGACCTTTTGGAGAGTCGAACTCCACCTTGTGGAGACGATGCTATCGATTGGACAATAACCTTTCTATGGAGTTAGAGGCCAACCATTTGTCCAATCGATGTCGGCTTGAGGTCTTTCTGCGCGGGTTCGTCGAAGCCATAGCAGCTCCACCATGGATTGAGGAGGCACGTGCGGGCGATAGTAGTGCAAGTTGTCCGGTGCCACAGGGCTTAGGGTAGGTTGCCAACATGACATCCATGGGGCACACAATCATGGCTGGCCGCCTGAAACCAGAGATGGCTGACGGATGTTTCGTTCAAGGGGAAGACTGCGGAGAAGCAATGGTGATTTGGTCAGAGTTGATTACACCAACCCAACGACTCAAAGAGTTCACACACCTTTGCCCTTTTGGAGAGTGGAGTATGAATTAAGCATTCTGGCATTCGTGTGAGGGTGTGAGGGGCCCATCCATCAATTGCAGGAGCTGTGAGTGGTGCATTGTAGCAGTGGTGAACTTTTGAGTTGGGCCAGCAGGGCTGGCCAATTCGAGCCAGCCTAAAATCTCAAATGGACTGCCTGGACAAGCTCAGTCACCACGTCATAGTAGCTCGAGCTTATGTGCTGTTTAAGGCATCGCAAGGCCGGGCTGATTCCGATGAACAAAAGTAATGAAATAATAATGTCAACTAGCCTCAGCTGGAGATTCCAATGGCGACATTCAAACCGGGACACCATCAGCACCTTTTCAGAGCGCAGCGGCTTCGATGCGTGAAAGTCGATTGAAAGCTAGACGATGGATGGCCCAAGAGCGTTTAGGTAAGGTTTGTTACGATGAGTGTTACGATGAAACAGCAAAGTAAAGAGAGTTGTGAGATGGTGAGAGAGAAATTGGAAGAGAGGGTGAGAAAAGGATGAGAAGGAGGGAAGCAAAAATATCTTCCGTCGATGTTCATGCAGGCTGGCATACGTTTTTGCATCAAAAAGATGTTTGGATTCAAGTCCTGCCTCAAAGGTGTTCCAGTCAAGGTTTATAGAGGTGTGTGTGTGTGTGTCTTTTTGCCAAGGAAATGTATACATGCAGGTCCTGCCCCAAAGATGTTTTCAAGGTGTTTAAATAAATCCAAATCCTATCCTAAAGATATTTCGTAATTTATATAGAATTAATGATTATATGATTCCAAAAAATTGTAAAAATACATAATGTGGCCCTTAGATTTATAAACCCCCCTAGAATAATGATATTTTTTTCCGGCATAGATTTATAAGGGCCCCTAGAATAAGGTTTTTTTTTTTTGGAGGACTAATTGTAATGGGATATTTAATTTGTTGGAATTTATTTATTTTACAGGGTTTTGGATGGCTATTTTTTAAATAATTGAAGATATATTTTTGGAGGTTTTTGGATGGAGATGATTAATAATTAATTTAATATGTTTATTGAAATTAGAATTGTTTGGAGGCTTTTGGATGGAAAATTCTATTAAAATTTTTGGAGATTTTTATTGAAATTTGATGCTTTTGGAGGTTTTTTGATATTATTTAGGCGGTGAATTCTAGAAGAATATTTAGAAAATTTAATTTGAAAATTATTTTGTTGTAAATATATTTGTATGTATTATGTTTTTCTTTTTATTTATTTATTTATTTAAATTCTTTAATTATTGAAAAAAAAAATAAAAATATACATAAAGGATATAATCTAATAAACATTATTTTGATATTATTTAGGAGGAATCTTAGAATTTAGAGATTTTAGGTTTGAAATATATTAGAATTTAAATAGATTTATATTTATTTTTTTTTATTTTATTTATCTAAATTCTTTAATTTTTATGTTTAAAAAAAATAAATATGAATGAATAATTTCTTATAATATTCCTTATTTAATAATATTGAAAAAAATAAAATGAAATCATTTAAGCAAAGGGGGAAAATTTAATAAGTATTTTGTTGATATTCTTTAGGGGGACCCTAGTATAATGTCTAGAGGTTTTTTGTTTTGAAATATATTTTATTGGGTATTATGTTTTTTTCTTTATTTTTTGATATATTTT